TACATGAGAGCGAAAAAGGCGGGGGCTGTCGCATGGATCAAGACGGCCCGAGCGGCGGAGCGTGTGAGACGCGCCGCGTTTACGTTCCTGCCATCCTTAAGCACGAAGCGCGTCAACCGCCGTCGCCCCGCCGTATCGACAACATCTGTCGTCCCCCATGCCGCCTCCCCTGTCACATGTGCAAACCCCCCCCAAGCCGCGGAAGCAGCATCGGCGGAGTGCGGCTGCGAAAGCCAGCGTCGGTTCGGTGGTCATTCGAGTACCTTTCCCACTCGCGCCTGCTTCAACGGAAAACTGCTTCGCTCCCGTTTCCGCATTCCTGGTTTCTCCTTTCGGGTTTCCCCTTCCGCGCTTCTTCCGCCGCGTTTCCTCTCCAACCGCTGTGCTGTGTCTTCCGCCGCCTCAAGCTCCGCCGCTGCCGATTGCTCCGCCTCCTCTTCTCCCGTCGCTTCTCGCGCAGCTTGCAGCGCTCCGCCGCTAGTTAGCCCGCCAGAAGACTCCGCCGCCTCCGCCGCTTTCTTCGCATCCGCCATCGTTTCTAACCAATCCGCTGCTTCCACGTCATCCAGCGGCATTTCCGCGTGCGCCTCATTACCCAGAAACACCTCTTCTTTCTCCGCTCCTTCGTTTTCCGCCCGTTGTAATCATTTTGACACCACCACCGCCGCCGCCGCCGCCGCCGCCGCCGCCGCCGCTTCCGCAGTTAGCCTAGCACTCGCTCCGCCTGCCCTCAGTCATTGTGACGAGGTCGATTCTCACGCCGAAACTCACGCCGCTTCTCGCGACGACTGTCACGCGACCCGCTCCGCGTCGTGGAAGCGCGCCATGTCGATAGCGATCCCCGCTTGCGGAGAGGCGCGGGAATCGGAATGCGGAGGGGCGGGAGAAGACGCGGGGGAAACGGCGGAGCTGACGGCGGCGGAAGCGGCGGAAGATTTGGCGCAGTGTGATCGACTAAGCGGCTGCGCGCAGGACACTGCGGTTGACATCGATTCGCTCTGGGAAGCGGCGGCGGCGGCGGAGCTCGAGGCGGAAGAGCGAGCGGTTACGGCTGCGGCGGCGGCCGCGGCCGGAGCGAAGCGGTGGCGAGGAAGCTGGAAAGCAGCAACGCCTACTAGCCGGTTGACGATGGCTGCAGCGCCTAAAACTCCGAAATCTGAAGATTCCGGTGTTTCAAAAACGCCGAGCAGAACAACAACGGTACTCACGCCGAGAGGGTTGGTTGTTCGTGAACCTAAAAAGGGTTGGGGCGCGCTTGCGGAAAGTGTATCATCCGCGCTGGCGGATAATCTAAGCGCGGCGGAGCTGGCGGACAGTGCAGCGGGGCCAGCGCACTCCCCAAGCAGCTGGTTGGAGAGTGCAGGGAGTGGCGGAAATGCAATTTCCGCCGTTAGTCCCCCGCCTACGTCTTCCACGCCTCGGTTCTTTTCTGCTCTGCGCTCGTCTTTCTGGCGCTCAGCTGCTGACGTGGCGCCTGTCGTGGTCGCGGGTTCGAATCCCAGCGGCGGTGCAACTCCTGTATTTACTGTACGGGATCCTGTTGCCCCTACTATACCTGTTACAGCAGCTGCGATGTCGACGAACATTTCAGGCGAAAATCCAGAAACAGCAATGGCGACGTCGAAATCTTCACCAACAGGCGTTCTGGTGTGCGAAGCTGATTCTTGGAGTCCCCCTTATGAGCAGCATCACAACACTGCAGAGTGCACCTCAGTTGAGTGGAGCAAACGTGCTACAACGACTCCATCTAAACCCCACGCCAGGACGATGAAACCTTCCAGAAGTTTTAACGGCAATGACCTTCAATCCTCATCTAAGAATGACTTTTCCGCTTCAAAAATACCATCTTCGACTTCCTCACTTCGCTCCCGCCGAGGCCTTCCACCCTTTGAAAACCTCCAAACCGAAAAGAACCAGCCAGGCCAGGCAAGCCAGCCAAAGCTGCAGGCTTGGAATGGCGCCAGCGCACCCGACTTGAGAAATCTTGAGATAACCCTAACTCCAGCTTTTTTCAACGTGCCCAGTGGCAGCAGAGTGACTCCTGAGCTGACTTGGAAACACCTTTCGGATTTTGCAGCAGCCAGGTTGGAAAGGGAGAGGCCTGACGTAGCAAGGCAGTGCGAAGGGGGTGCAATGGAGAGGGGGAAGATGGAGGAGTGTGTGGTAGAAATCAGCGAGGTGGAGTGGGGTGTGGTGAAAGGCGGTGGAGGGGAGGGGGATGTGCAGGCGCGGAGTGCGGTGGAGGAAAATTATTGGGAAGAGCTCAAAACCCCTTCCATGGCCCCTGCCTGCTGCTTCGGTGTGGTTGGAGGGTTCCCAGGCCCTCCTCTGACCCAGCAGGATCAAGAGCATGAATGGCACATGCAGCCGCAGGGGAAGGTGCCACAACAACATCTGCAGAAAAAGCAGCACCTGCACACACAGCACCAGCGGCAGCAGCTGGAAAAGGGTTGGGAAGAGCAAGAGCAGGAAGGGGAGGAGGGGAAGGAGGAGGAAGAGGAGGAGGATCAACAGCAGCATTATCTGGCGGGAAATCAGCCTGGATGCGCTGCAGCAATGGGTTGCATGCCTTTCTCAATGAACCGGAACAGTCACCACCACCAGTGCAACAGCCACCGAAGAATGTTCAGCAGGAGCCATAGCAGCAGCAGTAGTAGCAGCAGGAGCAGCGATACCTGGCTGCTTGCTTCTGCGGAACAGCCTAGTGAGTCCGGTCTGGTTACACCAAGGGGTTCAGGCAGGGGCAGGTTTGAGAGAGCGAGGAGTAGTGGCAGCGGTGGTGCTGCTGCAGCCACTGTAGTGCTGTATGTGCCGCGGTTCGCAAGAAACAAGCATCAGCGGTCGGTCGTGAGGGAGGTGGCGAGACATTCTCTCGACGACGTAGTGTCAGTGGGTGTGAGGTGAATTGTTGCGGTGATTTTGAGGCAGGGAGAAAGGGTAGGCTCCTGCGGCTTGGCTGTCTGGTGTCTTCTATGAGTGTCCCCTGTATTGGCTGCTCTAGGTTGGTAGTATACACTACTGTTGTTGGGATGTAATATGTATCCCACTCCAAGCAATTTAGCTCCATAGCCTGTGGTTCCAAGTGGCGCCACTACATTCACCTAACAATACTTGCATAAAACGCTGGCTTATTACAGAACTAACCGGGATGCAAGCTACAGCTTGACAAAATTGCAACAATTTAGCTACATGTCTATGTTGGTACTGTATCGGAGGTACTAATAAAGAATGTTCCAAATGATGTTCCAAATACTGGTACTGTATCGTCTTGTCTTCCACATGTGAAGGAAATTCCAAATATGTCCAGTTTTACGCGGTTTATGACGGTCAATCACGTTTAGGGACGTTTTTTGGCTTTCACCGCCTTAGACCATTGCGCACCAGAATCAACCTACAATTGAACGACTTGCTGTCAGGATCATCATCATTCTGGGCTCGGTAAGGACCCGGTTGAAGTCAACGATCGATCGTCAGTCACGCTCGATGTGCAGATCGGTTACCTTATTCACTAAGCTGTAACAATGCTATAGTACTTTTTTGGTCAATTTCTTTGTGCAGTGTGTAAATGCGACCGATCACTTATGGCGGGAGATCTGTCAAATCTCAGCAGCGGTCGTTACAGCGTCGCGATTGCCACGTTTCGCCAATCGATCTTCCCGATCGATTGCGGGGATCGATATGTGCAGACGATCCTGCGATTATTACACTTTACCGCGTCCTGAGCGAAACAATAAGCCCTGAACCAGACGCGCATTGCGCGCCAACCAGCACCTTCATTTCAACCTTCCGTTCCAGCCTTCTCATCGATTTGCCTCGGGCACAGTGTGTCGCCTCTCCGCGGTGGGCCTCGCTCCCCTCCTCGACACGCAAATTCAACAAGTTGAGCTACGGCTCAGGAGACCCACCCTCCTGTCCTGCATTCGATCTGTGCACATATACACCCTCTTTCTCGCCATTGTGAATCCGGTTTTAGTGAAGTCAAGATGGGAAAAGCACGGTTAACAGTGGTTAGATGAAGTCTCGGTATGGTTCAATCAGACAAATCGAAGGTAGCTAGGTTTTCCACCAGTTCGGCACAGTTCATAGTATTGAGAAACAGGGTGTACTGTTGCATTCATCCGCTCCGTACGTGTTTCTTCGGTGGAGCAGTCGAGTTCGCTGTCGGTTTCTGTCCGTGAACTGCAGGAGAAGCACAATGGATGGATCCAAGCGAAGCTTGTTTGTCAGCCGGAGGTTTGAAGCCCGCATGTGAATAGTTGACGTAAACAACACGATCAGACAGTGTTCGCCGTTATGAATGCTGCAGCACCCACGAGCACGAGATAACGGCAAGGGAAAGGATGGGAGAGAAAATGCTGCTTACTCGCTCCATCCCCCACACGTAAAGGGACACTCGTTCCTAATCGCTCTTACATGGTTGTAGGGTTTCTTGGGAGGAGTGGTATTGAGGCTCTGGTTCTCTAGCTCGCGGTGATTAGGTGGTCCTTACTGACTTACCCAAAATTCGTACTAAGCTCTTCAAGATCTTCTAATACGCTTAATGGTTTCTCTACCAGTAGTAGTCGAAACTGTATCGTTCTTCGAACAACACGTAGTACGCTCCGGCGCGAGAAATGTCGAATTACCAGAATCAGAGCCCAGCGGCGCGCTTCGTGGAGGTGGGACGAGAGAGTTACAAGAGATTGAAAAAGGCAGCGGCTGTCATGCGGATAAGCACAGCCCGAGTCGCGGAGCGTGTGAGGCGCGTGGCGTGCACGTTTTTGTCGTCTACAGGCTTAAAGTCCGCAAACCGCCGTCGTTCCGCCGCATCCTCCATCCCACGCGCCACCTCCGCCGTTCCATGCGCCACCTCACCCGTCACTTGCGCAAGCCGCCATGATCCCCCCCCAGCCGCGGCAGTAGCGTCGTCGGAGAGTAGCCCAACGCAGCGCCGCTGCGGCCTTCCGAATCGAATTCCTGCCGTCGTTCCGTCGCGTTTCGTCGTCGCGTTCCGCCGGAGCATGAGAGGTTGGAAGTCAGCGTTCGCGTTCAAGTTGCGAAAACCTTTTTCGTCTGAAGCGACTACACGAAGTTATACCCCTCACTGCACCGCCTCTTCCGCCGCCTCCGCCTCCGCCTCCGCCTCCGCCTCCGCCGCAGCCAATCGCGCTGCCTCCTTCTCCGCCGCCGCCTCTCGCGCCGCTACTAGCGCTTACGCCGTATTCTGTCCCTCGGCCCCCGTTGCGCCTGTGGAAGACTCCCCCTCCGCCGCATCTGCCGCTTCCTCTGCCTTCCCTGCTTCCTCTGCTAACTCCGCCGGTGCAACCCAATCCGCTCCTTCCACGTCACCCGCCGTCTCCGCGTGTTCCTCGTTAAATAGAAGTGCTTTCTACTTCTCCTCCTGCGCTCCTTCGTTTTCCGCTCGTTTTAGTCACGCTGACTTGCGTGCCAGCCCCACACCCGCCGCCACTTGCGCCGCGAGTTCAGCTCTCGCTCCGCCTACGTCCGTAAAAGCCGATTCTCACTCCAATTCTCACGCCGATCCTCACCCTGATTTTCACGCCAGTTCTCACACCAATTCTCACGCCAGTTCTCACGCCAATTCTCACGCCAGTTCTGTCGCCGATCCTCTCGCCGATTGTCGCGCGACATTCTCCTCGTCGTCGTGGAGGCGCTCCATGTCGATAGCGATCCCCGCATGCGACGGCGACGACGAGGTGCATGCGGTGGGGGAGGACGAGGGGGGAGAGGCGGAGGAAGAGGCGGGAGAAATGGCGGAGTCGGATGGCCGTAGTGGCGGCGCTCAGGATTCTGCGGTGGACATCGATTCGCTGTGGGAAGCGGCGGCGGCAGCGGAGCTCGAGGCGGAAGAGCGAGCGGCCATGGCGGCGGCGATAGCGGCGGCGGCTGGAGCGAAGCGATGGCGAGGAAGCTGGAAAGCGCTAACGCCTCGGTTAAATATTTCGGCGCACAAAACTCCGAAATCTGACATTTCTGGCAGCGCAACGCCAACGCGAACGCCCGTACTCACGCCGAAAGGATTGGTTCTCGAACCTAAAAAGGGTTGGGGCGCGTTGGCGGAAAGTGTGGCATCCGCGCTGGCGGACAATCTAAGCAGGGCGGAGCTGGCGGACGGCGCAGCGGGGCTGGCGGCGCCGACGACTCCGCGCTTATCCTTCCGCCAGTGGAGTTCCGCCTCAGAGTCGACCCGACCTAGCGGGCGTGTAGTTGCGGAAGATGAGTTTGCGGAAATGCCCCGCAATTGGTTGGAGAACGCGTGGAGTGGCGGAACTACAGGTTCCGTCGTGAGCCCCCCGCCTCCTTCCACCCCTCGGTTCCTCTCCGCTTTCCGCTCGTCTTTCAAGCGCTCTGCTTCAGAGGCAGCGCCTGTGGTGGTCGCGGGCTCGAATCCTAGCGACAGTGCGATTCCCGTTGTGAAGGATCATGTTACCGTTATGGTAACTGTTACAGCATCTGCAATTTCTACAAAAATTCCATGCCACAGTCCTCCAGCGACATCAGCATCAGGATTACCACCAGGAGCAATTCCGGCTCATAAGTCCGTTTCGTGTGGTTCCCTTAATGAGCATCATCGCAACACTGTACAGCGCAGCTCTGTGGAGTGCAGCAGTGTAGTTCATTCTAGACGAAACACTACTCGCAACCCATCTACACTTCGTGAAAGGGTCAAACCTTCCAAAAGTGCCAACAGCATCGACGTTAATTCTACCAGCAATCATCAACTGATTGCTTCAAATTCCTCCTTGTCTACTCCCGCACTTCACGCCCGCCGAGGCCTTCCTCCCTTCGAAAACCTTTGTACCGAGGAAGAACAGCCAGGTCAGGCAAGGCAGCCGAACCTGCTGGCTCGGAATGGCACCAGCGCTCCTGATTTGCAGGTTCTTAAGTTTGCTCAGATTTCCTCCAACCTGCCCGGCAGCAGCAGAATGGTGCCTGAGTTGTCTTGGGGGCAGCTTTCTGAGCTTGCAGCAGGCAAGGAGAAAATGGACTGGCCTGTGGTGAGCGGGGGTGTGGTGAAAGGGGGTGCGGTGGAAGGGGGTGCGGTGCAGGAGTGTGCAGTGGAGTGGTGTGCGATGGAGGAAGATGCATGGGATGAGCCAGAGAGCCCTGCAATGGTCCCTGCTTGCTCCTTGTGTGGGGTAAGAGGCTTTCAAGCTCCTCCCTTGGCCCAGCAGGATTGGCAGCAGGTGTGGCATGTGCAGCAGCAGGGGAGGTTACGGCAGCAGCAGCAGCAGAGGCAGCAGCCGGGTGGGGGCAGAGAACAGCGAGAGCAGGAAGGGGAGAAGGGGGAGGAAGACGAGGAGGTGCAGGAGCAGCATTACGATCTGGCTGAAAAGCAGGCTGGCTGTGCAGCAGGAATAGCTTGTGCGCCTTTTCCAATTCCAATGAGTCGGAGTATAACCCGCCGCCAGGGAACTTTTGAGTCGACTCAAGAATCGCCTGGCAGTGCAGAAGCGATGGGTTGCGCACCCTTTTCAATGAGCCGGGGTATAACCCGCCACCAGGGAAGTAGCCGCAGCAGCAGGAGGTTCAATAGGAGCAACAGCACGAGCAGCAGCATCAGCATCAGCAGCAGCAGCAACTGCTTACACTTGAGTATGTGCAACTGCGGAAACAGCAGTAGGACTTTTGGTAGGAGTGATAGCAATAGCAGCAGCATCAGCAGCAGCAGCAGCAAGTGCTTACATTTGAGTAAGTGCAACTGCGGAAACAGCGGTAGGCTGTTTGGCAGGAGCGATAGCAATAGCAGCTGCAGCAGCACGAGCAGCAGCAGCAGCAGCACCTGGTTATTTGCGGGATGTATTAGTGATATTTATGAAAATCCCCAAACAGAGCCTGCACAGAGGGACAAGGACGAGAGGTCAGCAGATTTCCAGCTGTGCTTGAATGCACCGAGGGGAGGAGGCAGGGTTCGGTTGGACAGGATGGGGAGTGGTGGTGGTGATGGCAGTGGTGGTGGTGGGACAGCCACTGTGGTTTGGTATGTCCCGCGATTTGGCAGGCATAGGCAGCAGAGGTCGATAGTAAGGGAAGTGGCACGAGAAGCCGTGAGAGACATTGCGCGTGGGGGAGCAAGGTGAAGGGAAAGGGCTGTGATTGCCTGCCAAGGTCCAGAGCAAGAGGTTGCTCCTGGAGCATAGCCACCAGACGTCCTGTATTTGAGCTTCTGTTGATACTACACAACATACAGTATTTGTTGCTGTATCTAATATATTTAGTTATCCCAAGAGCCTTACCTATTTCAGACCATCGCAGTAGTACACTTCATGGAATTGTACAGTACTGAAGCTGTTAAGCTGTACTCAAATGCAACGTTGCTATACTACCGGCATCTGTCAAATTATATATATGCTATATATGTTTAGGTTGCAGTGGGGTAGCCAATATGGGGTACAGCCCCTTCTAGGGTTTCATATTTCTACCCAACACTTTCCTAGTTCATCCATTCCTGCCTAGCATTCTGACATGGTATGAGAGCAGTAGGTCCGTAGGACCGATTTTTTAGGGCCCACCTACCGTTGCAATTACTGAGCTGCCCCACGTCGTGCCTGCGCTGCGTTGCCCGCGCGCGCCTTGTCTTGCCTGCTCTGCGCTGCCCGCGCGCGCCTCTGCCTTGCCTGCGCGCGCTGCCCTAGTCCCGGGCACGCCGCCTGGTCCTGCCCCGCGCGCCGCCTTAAGAGCCCGCGCGCGGCCCGCTGCTGCCCCGCGCGCCATCTAAGGTGCCCGCACGCGGCTCGCTGCTGCCCCGCGCGCCGCGTCCGCCGCCCGTGCAGCCCGCTGCTGCCCCGCGCACCGCGCACGCCGCCCGTGCAGCCCGCTGCTGCCCCGTGCGCCGCGTCTGCCGCCCGCGCAGCCCGCTACTGCCCCGCACGTCGCGTCCGCCGCCCGAGCAGCCCGCTGCTGCCCCGCGCGCCGTGTCCGCCGCCCACGCAGCCCGCTGCTGCCCAGCGCGCTGCGTCCGCCGCCCTAGCGCGGCCCGCTCCTGCCTTGCGCGCTGCCTTACCTGCCCGCGCGCCGCTTCAGCACCCTGCGCGCGCCTCGCCGCTGCCCTGCGCGCCGCCCTAGCCACGTGCGTGCCGCCAAAGCAGCTTGTGCGCCGCCACAGCCGCCCTGTGTGCAGCTTCTCCTGTCTGTGCTCTGCCTTGCCGCCTACGCGCTACTCTCACCCGCGCTCTCATGGCGACTTTCAATGTCCTAGCTTTCGATTCTGACGGTCGCCCGATAGAGTTTGCCACTTGGCTCGACGACCTGCAACTGTTCATTCTGACTGATGCCAAAGACAGAGTTTCACTGTCCGATTACGTGACTGGCACTTCCGTTGCTCCTGCTGACACTGCTACCGCTCTTGACCGCTTACAGTGGCAGACTCGCGATGCTGCTGCGCGCCTCGCTATTCGCAACCATCTGCCGATCACTGAGCGCGCGCACTTTAGTCAGCACAAGACTGCTAAGGCACTGTATGAGGCTGTAGTTGCCCGCTACTCTTCCCCAGCCGCTGCAGCCGTAGGCCGTCTCATGCTACCCTACCTGTTCCCCGACCTGTCCTCGTTTACCACCGCTGAGGACCTCATCTCTCACCTCCGCGCAAGTGACGCTCGCTTTCGTGCCGCCCTTTCATTCGAGTTCATCGCCGAGAATCACCCCCCGATGTACTTAACTCTCTACTTCCTCATCACTCGCCTCCCTGACACTCTTCGCCCAGTCTGGGACCACTTTCTCGCCCTAAACCCGGCCACTCTCACTGTCGCCAACTTCGAGACGCACCTCCTAACAGCTGAAAAGAACATTCTCGCTGTAGGTGCTGCTCGTGGCACTCCTCGCACTCCCCTCTTTGAGGGGTGCTCCCCCACCCCTCTTGCCCCCTCCTACGCCTTTGATGCAGCTGCTCTCGACTACCTTGGTCCTCAGAAGGTCGGGGCTGCTCCCGCTCCTAGTGGGAAGCGCCACACCGCCAAGGGCAGCAGGGGTGGCAGGGGAGGTGGAGGTGGCGGTGGAGGGGGCGGTGATGGAGGCGGTGGGGGTGGTGGAGGTGGTGGGGGTGGTCGTGGGGGTGGAGGTGGTGGTGGGGGCGGCAGAGGTACCGGAGGCAGTGGAGGTGGCAACGGCGGGAGTGGGGGAGGAGGGAGCGGTGGTGGCAGCGGTGGTGGGAGCTGGAGTGGAGCCGGCCAGAAGGGGAGCTCCAGTGGTGGCCAGGGACAACAGCAGCAGCAGCAGCAGCAGCAGCACCAGTGCGGACAAGTTCTCCCTTCGCGCCATTCCCTGCGTCTTCCTTGGTTTCCCCCCTGAGACGCCTGGCTGGCAGTTTTACGACCCCGCCTCGCGTCGTGTCTTTCCGTCTCAGGACGTCACCTTTGACGAGTCGGTCCCCTTCTACCGTCTGTTTCCCTACCGCACTGCCCCTCTCCCCCCCCCCCCCCCCCCCCCACCGCTCTTTCTCGCTCCAGGTTCTCCTCAGGTAGACCCCCTCTCCGCTCCCGATCCTGCTCCTTCAAGTATGTCTCAGGACCCTCCTCCCTTGACTGAGCCATTTGAGGTCACTGGTGACTCAGGTCCTCCTAGGTGTGAGGAGTCTGGGGGTGCTGAGCCTGAGGGTACTGAGTCTGGGGGTGTTGCGCCTGGGGGCACTGAGGCGCGTGGTGAGCAGTCTCCTTGGAGCGGCCGCCTCCGTAGTCGCTCCGCTGGTGCCTCGCCGCAACGCTCTCGTAGGCGTGTCCCTCTCTCCACACAGCAGCTGCGTGAGTGGTACGTTAGCCGTCAGAGTCGCGCTGCTGGAGCTAGGGGCCCTGCTACGGAAGGCGCTGGCGTTGGAGGCACTGTAGTTGGTCTGTCCCTCTCTCCCCACAGCAGCTGCGTGAGTGGTACGTTAGCCGTCAGGGTCACGCTGCTGGAGCTGGGGGCCCTGCTGCAGGAGGCGCTGGAGCTGGTGACTCTGCTACTGGAGGTGTTTCTACTGGGGCTCCAGGAGCCGCTAGTCTCGGAGGTGCTCATACTGGAGGTACTGGAGCTGCTGGGACTGAAGGTACTGCTGAACCTGGAGGTGTTGCTGTCGACTCTGAGGTTGGAGGTCCTGCTGCTGGTGGTACTGGTACTGGAGGTGCTGCTGTCGACTCTGAGGTTGGAGGTCCTGCTGCTGGTGGTACTGGCACTGGAGGTGTTGTAGCTTGAGGTTCTGGAGCTGCTGGAGGTGTTGGTACAGGAGGTGCTGGCTTTGGAGGCGCTGGAGCTGGAGGTTCTCGAGCTACTGGAGGTACAGGTACTGGAGGTGCTGGCGCAGGAGGTTCTTGAGCTGCTGGAGGTGCTGGTACTGGAGAAGCTGGCGCTGGAAGCTCTGGAGCTGCTGGAGGTGCTGGCGCTGGAGGCGCTGGAGCTGGAGGTTCTGGAGCTGCTGGAGATGCTGGAGCTACTGGTGCTGGTGGCCCTGCACAGCCGCGACTGTTCTTCGCTCCGCCGTCACCTTCGTCCCTGCCACCGCCTGACTTTGTGCTTCGCCAGGTTCTTAGCCTCCCGTCTTCTACTGTTCTTCCGTTACAGCCTGGCTCACCGCTGCCTGCTCTTTCTCCTTACACTGAGTAGACAGGGGGGTCTTACTGAGCGTCGTGAGCCTGCGTCTCGTCCTGTCTCGCCTATTCGCACTGTCCGCACTGGTCGTCGTGTCTCGCCTATTCGCACTGTCCGCACTGGTCGTACTGGTCGTCGTGTTCCTCGTAAGCGTCCGCCGGCTGTCCCCGGCACACACCTCATGGCTCTGCGTCCTTCCTCTGCTCCGCAGCGTGTTTCCCTGTCGTCCCCTCCTGCGTCCTCTCTGCCTGACATTCCAGACAATGAGTCTGACCGCGCTCATGCTACTCACCCTACTGTCACGCGTCTGCCTTCATCATTGAGCTTGTTGAGTTAGCTACTACTTGTCGTCTAGACTATGGTGCTAGTCTTGTTGTTGAGTCTGAGTCTGTCTGTCCTCCGTCCGTCGGGGGTGAGTATGCTCTTAGCACGGACGTCCTTCAGTACAGACAGGAGGAGTTTGAGTGCTTTCCCGCTACTTTTCCTCATCTCGTGTCCATGCTGATTGCCCCTGAGGGAGACCCGGATGCACCAGACATCCCGGCCCCGCGCTCTTACGCAGAGGCGATAGAGGGTCCCTACTCCTCTCAGTGGCAGTCAGCCATGGTCGCAGAGATGGCTTCCTGAAAGTCCACTGGCACCTACGTTGACCAGGTTCCCTTGCCTGGGGCGAACATCGTCACTGGCATGTGGATTTTCAGGGTGAAACGGCCGCCGGGTTCTCCGCCTGTCTTCAAGGCACGTTACGTTGCATGAGGCTTCAGTCACCGTGAGGGAGTTGACTTCTTCCAGACCTTCTCCCCTACCCCGAAGATGACCACTCTTCAGGTTCTGCTGCACGTCGCCGCTCAGCGTGACTACGAGCTCCACTCTCTTGACTTCAGCACTGCTTTCCTACAGGGCAGCCTGCACGAGGAGATTTGGCTGCGCCGCCCTCCTCGCTTCATTGGGTCGTTCCCTCCTGGTACCCAGTGGAGCCTCCGGCGGCCGGTCTACGGTCTCCGCCAGGCACCCCGTGAGTGGGACGACATTCTGAGGACGACTCTTGCTGCCCTTGGGTTTGCTCCTTCTACTGTTGACCTGTCGCTGCAACTGCGCACCGACACTTCGCTGCCGCCGTTCTACATCCTCATGTACGTCGACGACTTGGTCTTTGCCAGTGCTGACATTGAGGCTCTCGCCTTGGTGAAGTCGGAGCTGCAAAAGAGACACACGTGCACGGACATGGGTGAGCTGCGTAGTTACCTTGGCTTGCAGATCACCCGGGACAGAGCACGCCGCACCATCACACTGACTCAGTCACACATGGTGCAGCAGGTCTTTCAGCGCTTCGGCTTCACCTGGTCCTCGGCACATGCCATTCCTCTGGCTACAGGTCACTCTCTCTCAGCTCCACCTTCGGACGAGTCTGTAAAGCCGAGTGGTCCTTACCCAGAGCTAGTAGGCTGCCTCATGTACCTGATGACTTGCACTCGTCCTGACCTTGCGTACCCTCTTGGTCGTCTGGCTCGCTACGTGGCTC